TCAACATGTTATTGACAAGATATGCAATCCGTCAAATTGTCTCAAGAGACCTGCAATTCATCCTAAGAAATCAACAATTCCTTGTGTTGGGGAGTTTCGTGGATCAAATGTCAAAAATACTCTGGTTGCCATGTACTTGAGCATAATAAAAGTTTTGTCACAATCCGATCTCTATTGATATGCCATAATGATATGTACATTTGTTTTATGGTTCCCGTATTTTTTTATTTCTTCCCACATCACTTCATTTCTTATACTTCTTTTGTAACAAACAAGGGGTTATGTCTTGAATATTACTAAAAATTGGACAGTTGATAAAAAGTGACTTTTTTTCTTAATTTCAAAAAATGTGACTAATCTCAAGTGACACTATTAAAGTTAAACAGTACTCCGGCCACAGTGACACCCGTCACCATGACTCCGCCACAATGAATTTCAATCAATTTGGCCGCCACCTTGACGGCACCACCACTGTCGCTTCCGTCGTTGCCTATCAGACCTGACTGTGAGTGACCACCCTCCACCATGGGACCACGCCCAACACCGCCAACACCGCAGCCACCACCTCCGGTGGGTGCCACCGCCCACCTCCAATCTTGTCATTTTGAAACCAACCATGCAACTTGTTAGGAATATTTTATGGTGTCCAATCTAGATTAAATATCTTTGTATTTGTGTGTATTTGTGTAGTTAGCATTTAGATGTGTAATATGGGCCACAAATGTGTATCAGCCCATTAGCTTCCTTGTAACCCGTAAGTTAGTCAACTTCTCCTATAAAAGGAAGCTAACTTACAGGAACCCTAACAATCGAAAAGAGGCTTAGAGTGCGTAGAGGCAAGATAGAGAGAAGGGTTTCCGCTGCTCTCCTTCTCGAAGGAGAGCAGCGGGGTTTCATACGGTATACCAGATTCGTGTATAATATCGACATCCTTCCATCTGCTTCTTCATTGTTACTTGATTGCGATTGTTTGATTGTTAAATACTAGGTTTATCAATTGGTATCAAGCCGAGGCGTGAAAAAGGTTGAATCTATCTGCGTTTTTCGAATATGCTTTTTCGACAGACTCTGTTTTTCTCTAGTATTTCATTATCTCGATATTTGCCTTTGTGCTATTGTTTTTGGGCGAAACTTTGTCAAAATTATATTGTTGGAATCGCCTCCTCTTGTTGATTCTACATCACTTCTTTGGTTTCGATTTCTGCAATTTTTCGATTTCGAAGATCTCTATACTGAGATCTCGAGATCCTATTTTTTCAGCGTTGCAGAAACGATTTTGACTTGAATTTGGTACAGGAGGAATCGCGAGATCAAGGGCTTTTCAAAACTGTTTTCAAAATTTCAAAACTCGAAATTTTCAACTTGAAAGATTTCGAGATTTTGTTAGATCTCGATACCTTGGAAGATCTCGAGATTCTGGTTTTTATATGACAGGTAAGATTTCGAAGTTTTTGAAGATTTCAACATTTTACGAATTTCTCGATGTTTTGAATCTTTCAAAGTTTGGAGTTTCTTGAAACTCAAAATCGTTCGAAGCTTGATATCTTTCTGTTCAGAACATTTCGAAGCTTAAATTATAGGATTTTTTGTTGAATCTCTGCTTTTCAAAGTTTTTCAAAGTTTTCGATGTTCTGATGTTTTTCAAACAGCAAGTTTTCGGTATTCTGACGCTTTCAAAACTCCAAAGTTTTCGATGTTCTAAAATTTTGAAATTCTAAAGATTTCGAAGTCTTGAGGTGTTGTTTTTGCAGGTGGATTTCGACGCTCTTCTAAGGGATAAACTCGAGATTGTAATCTCGAAGTTTAAACCACGAGATTGTAATCTCGAAGTTTAAACCACGAGATTGTAATCTCGAAGTTTAAACCTCGAGATTGCAATCTCGAAGTTTAAACCTCGAGATTGTAATCTCGGGATTTAAACCTCGAGATTGTAATCTCGAATTTAAACCTCGAGATTAGGATTTCGATGTTTTACCTTAAAATTTTCTTTAAAATCCACCTGATATCGGTATTCAAAGTCGAGAACCTCAACTTCGAAGAATTTCCTCAAAATTCAAAGTTTTTGCGTGTCTTCACTGTTTTGGCCATAACTTTTGACTCGGTGGTCCGATTTAAGATATTTTTGTGGCGTTGGAAAGCTAACGAAAAGATCTACATTTATTCTCAGGCTTTGCCCCAGAACCCATCCTCACGCGCCCTCATGAGCGGTCCTTGGGGGTCAAAAAGTTAGTTTTCCGACAAACTTTGTAAATCACCGATGTCAAAAGGCCATTTTGGGCAAATCTGATCAAATTCTTCCAAAATCAAACCAAAGGTCAAATAGGGTCTATGCTACACTGCAGAGGTCTGAAAATCGTAGATAATTCAATCAACCTCGCATCAACGGTCATTCTACAACAATCAACAATCAACCACTGAAGCCTCCCCTGACTGATCAACATTATGTGATCCTCAATATGCTGAAATTCTACATGATGAGCTTAGGGAACCGTCATGTGTGGTACCTGTTCAGATTGCTCCACACACATGGCGGGTATGACAAGCTGTGAGCAACCAAACCTTGCACATTCTTAGGGGGAGTTTTCGTATTCTCCTCCTGGCACCTTACACCAACAAAGCAAGGAATCTCTCAAAGGATGCAACATTTTAGGGGGAGTGTTCAATAGTATCTTCCCCGGTGCCTAATAATGACAAAGCATACCGAGTGCTTCAGTTGAGGGGAGTACAGAGAGAAAATTAAAATAATAATAATAATAATAATAATAATAATAATAATAATAATAATAATAATAATAATAATAATAATAATAATAATAATAATAATAATAATAATAATAATAATAATAATAATAATAATAATAATAATAATAATAATAATAATAATAATAATAATAATAATAATAATAATAATAATAATAATAATAATAATAATAATAATAATAATAATAATAATAATAATAATAATAATAATAATAATAATAATAATAATAATAATAATAATAATAATAATAATAATAATAATAATAATAATAATAATAATAATAATAATAATAATAATAATAATAATAATAATAATAATAATAATAATAATAATAATAATAATAATAATAATAATAATAATAATAATAATAATAATAATAATAATAATAATAATAATAATAATAATAATAATAATAATAATAATAATAATAATAATAATAATAATAATAATAATAATAATAATAATAATAATAATAATAATAATAATAATAATGAGAGAACATGTCCCTATGGCTTAGTAAATCCAACTAAGCCTACTCAAGGGACAAAGCCGAGCGTGAGTGAGTGAACATTATGATCATAATGAGTGTTAGGAAGCAGAAGGCTCAAGTGAGCAAGAAAACAATAATCAATGATAAGTCTGCTACCTCAATTGCCTGCTATCCATTGAACATTTACTCTTAGCCACTCAAATACTCTGGACAATCCTCATAGGTTCAGGGCTGATTTAATCATATCCCAGGTAGAAGTCACTGCATCTTGTCCAACAGTGCATGTTGAACCCTATCCAAGACCACTCACTTGTCTCCCAACAGACAGGTGTTTAATCATATTTCACGGGAAACCGCATCTCTCGTTACTACCTCCTTACGAGGCAAGTAATACTGACAATCGAAAAGAGGCTTAGAGTGCGTAGAGGCGAGATAGAGAGAAGGGTTTCCACTGCTCTCCTTCTCGAGGGAGAGCAGCGGGGTTTCATACGGTATACCAGATTCATGTATAATATCGACATCCTTCCATCTGCTTCTTCGTTGTTACTTGATTACGATTGTTTGATTGTTAAATATTGGGTTTATCACAACTCTCGATGTGCACTCAATTGTTGCAAATATTGAATAAATATCGTTATGATACATGATTAGCATCACAAATTTTCTATAGTATTTGTTTGATATTAATTACAACGGGTTTCTTGTCCTTTTGTCCGTGAAACTTTTTTAGTAAAAAACTATTTGAGTTTTCCTCATGTGTTGTACTTTTTTGTTTATCTTCTCCATGTTTGCATCTTGAAGAAGTTGATATTGTCTGCGAATGGAAATGGTTTGCCATTTAAAAAAAAAATTCCCATTGGTTGGGTAAGAGATCAGCATCACATTCACATGTGTCCTTTGAAAATGGAAATCTCCAACTTTGTTTCACTAAGGGCATTATTGTCCGTAGGCTTGGACTCGGGCCGGGTGGCCCGACCCGGAACCGGCCCGGGACCGATACTATGCTGAACCGGCCCGACCCGATGGCCCGGCCAGTGACCGGTCCAGGTAGGCCCGGCCCGGCAGTTCCCGGTGCGGGCTCGGGTCACCCAAAAGCCGAACCGGCCCGGCCGGTTCAGGCCCGGTTCTGAGTTTTTTAATTTTTTCCCTCAATTTTTTATAACTTTTCAGGTTGAGCTGGGTATTTTGGACCATTTGGGGTGGTTTGGGGGGTTGGGGTGAGAGGGGGTTAATTAGGAAAAGGAAAAAAAATAAAAAGAGGCCCGGCCCGGACCTGGACCGGACCCGGTGGCTACCCAGGCCGGTCCCAGGCCCACCTGTAATAACCCGGAGGCCCGGCCGAGGCCCGAACCGGCCCAAGTCCAAGCATAATTGTCCACTACTAATAAATTCCATATGAAACTTAGGTGAGGCATGAGTCTTGTTTTGTCATAATTCCTATGTTTAGCTCCAAGAATGGGAATTTTGACTCCATAGTTTTCACTATGAGGCTCATATCAGCTGAGGCATATAATTTCTGCGTAATGAATAATGATTATGAGTTTGTGGGGTTTGTAGAGGGTACATAATAACAAAGATTGGCATGGTGTGCCAACTTTATCTATATATCATGGTGGGCTGCATTTCTAGCTAATGGCTTGGCTAGGGGCTCCCAACTCCCTCCATTGTTCATTAGAAAATCAACCATTATATTCTAAAACTTCCATATGTTATTACAAGAAAAAGATTTTCCCATTCAAGTAAACACAGCATAAGTATCTAATGATGTAATTGGTTTCACTTTTGTGGTTATGACAATCTGATTTACAACCTTAGATGACATATTTGGCACATACAAAGATATTGTATAATTTAAATCCAATTCATGAAGGGGAGTTAGAGATCAAAATTTTACATTGATGCTTGTTGGTATACATGATGTCAGATGGTGTGACATCTTCAGCAATTAACTTAAGCATGAAGTCAAAGCCCTACACAAAATATTTTCTATGTTATGAGGTCAGTTAAACAAAATGCTCAGTTGGATATTCATTCTCATGTCCATTGTAATCATAATATAGCCGTTCCCCCTTTCGGATGTCTCTGGTTGCTATCAACAAAACACGACTTTCGCCATTTACGTTGAACCTCACACATTTCACATTCTGCTTTTTCCTTCCTTCCCTGCATTGCAATGTTTCCCCCATAATATAGAGAATTCAGAAAAAAGGGAAGTTGGAAGGAAAAATTGGGGGGGGGGAGATAATCATTCTAATTACATAAAAATATTATATAACGACTGGGGAATCTTAACATATGCACACTGCTAATCTTTTATTAGTGATATGGTTTTCCTTTACATATATGTAAAGGTAAACTCTACCAAAAATAGACTTCTCCTACGGGTGTTTTCCCTATCCCTACAGTTATATGTGTTCCAAACATAGCCTAAATGGAAGAACTTACGGGGTATGGTTGTTGATGCCATTGATGAAGCGAGCTATGTTGCTTCGCTTATCTGGACAGATGACAAGGCATTCTGACGGATCCGCAGTGGATAGTAGAGTCATCATGCTATCACCATCATCGTTTTCACGATTTTTCAAGTAATCAACATCTCCAACATACTCAGTTATTATGGTTAGATCTCTGATGAATCTATCAGCTTCAACAGTAAACCTGTCAGTATGGATAAATGATTAACAGATTCTAGTTAAGAGAATGTTGCATCTCTGATGTAGACTGACGAAATAACTGCAAGTTTCTAGCTATGCTCACCCTTCTTTGGGGTCAAAAGCCACCATAAGAGGCGGGCATTCACCTCTTTCCATCATTTTCTTGCACAAATTCAAGGTTTCTGCATCATCTTTAGTCATTACCTGAAATTACATTTCATATAAATCTTTAATCATTTGTTCTTTTAACGAAGCCACAACCATCTCCTACATAGTCTATGATAAAAAAAATGCATCTTAATCATCACTAATAGGCACCACTTAACTACACAAGAATGCCATTTGTATTTCGTTCACTCCGAACTAGCGTAGTATTTGATATGATCATATATTGCTATATTTCGTTCTATTTCAAGTGTTTTATAGCTCGTTGGAAATATCTTATCGAGTTCTAAAAATCATATTCAAACTTCATTTACAAATTATTAAAAGATAAGTACATATTACTCTGAAATTAAAATCGTTGCCGAGTTTACTCTAAACACATCTAATATTTGACTTGATCATATCTTATTGTATTTTGTTGTGTTTCAAGCGTTTTATATCTTATTGAAAAGATCTTTTTAAGTTCTAAAGCTCGTATTTATTAATATGATAACTCATTCACCCTTATTATTCTATTACTAACACTATAATTGATGGTCAATGTGAACGAGCCAAACACATTCAAGGTGAGTTTGAAATTCATTTTATTTACTAATGTCTATAATGAAGACTTAAAAACATGTGCATACGTAAGCTTTTTAAAAACAGTAATCATTTTCCCATTTTGACGGTAAACCAAATAAGAGGAAATGACTTTCCATGACATTGTATTTCCTTTCCATTATGCACTTTCATTCATGTTATAAAAGCACCAGACACCAAGATTAAGGATTACTATGTAATGAACATTCTTGATCAAGTCACACACTTTGTTCATATGAGAAAATGTTGGAACATACCTGCATACCACCTTGCTCAAGTGCGGCCCTATTCACATTCCTAGGTGCCATGCCTGGCATATAAGTGAGTTCATTACTAAACTGGGCTGCAGACGCAGTTAATGCTGTTGCTAGCGATGCCATTTGCTCAAGTCTCCTACTAGGCTCATCAGTAGGATTGAATGCCAGTAATTTTCTCTTCTTCTTAGACACTGCTAAGCTACTAATTCTCCTTCGCCTCTTTTGGCAGACTGAAGAAAACAAAGATCCAAAAGTAGAGTTGAGACCCTAAAGAAAGTAATAGTCAAAAGTAAAAAAAAAAAAGAGGGAAAGCGCAACATTCTGCTACCACTTTACCTGCACTTCGCTTTTCTGTTGCATTCAACGATCTCTGGATACGGAAGAAGTCAACAATCTTGGTCTGAATAAGGGGAAATTCTGCATTTTCAAGAATGCAGAGCGAGTTACTTATTAGAGGAATAGGCATGAAAGAGAGAGTGCTAATGGCTAGTACAATTTCTAGATTTTTTTGGCAACATAGCCTTTTATAAAAGATACACAAATGCAATATCAAGTGTCTCTCAAAATGCACAAAATCTCTAAGCAAAATTGAGGCAGTAGACCTAAAATTTATAGCTAAATTCAGCTGTTGAACTGACAAATCTCACATAATCACACACAGAAGAAACAAGATCTAACCTCGAAAGGCTCATTACAGCAAGTTTCACAATAAAAAGAGAGTATTCGGTCTAATAATCAATGAAATTCAGTTAAAAGAAATACCCAGAAAGAAAAAACACAATATTCATATTTAACATATTAAAAAAATAATGGAGAAAATTAAAGAAACCCTACTTGTGACATTTCTGTAGTTGGAGCAGGATGTGCAGAACCACGAACCCTTGGGTACGGCAGCGAGGATTGGGCGGAGGCAAAACAGGTGAAACCCTCGATCGCACTTGTCGCAGAGCAAAAGCTCAGATCCTCGATCGCCGGACCCGCATTCCTCACAACACACATCACCGAAATCATCTCCTTCACCTGCATCCGATCTGGACCGTTTTACGGGCGATAAGTTCGGGAAAAACGGATTCGAAGCTTGGGTTCTTTTTCTGAGCACCATTGGTGTCGGTGAAGCTTCCATTGTCGCGGAAATGCGAGGTCTGGTGCCGAAGATGAAGTGTATGTACCTGGAGGGGGATGAGAAACAGAGTGGCATGTACCCTCGAAATGAACCCGTATATATATAATAAAAAACACAAAACCCGTGAACCAAATATCGTACCGGCTTAGCGCGCTGTTTATTTCGCGGGAAGACGGAGTTTGGCGCCAAAGGATCGCGTGCTTTGTCACCTCAGAAGTTTAACATGTTTTTAATTTATTTGCAAAAATACATGTTTTTAATTTGTCCAAAAAATTGTGATTTGGTCTATTTAAGTCTTACTTGATTTAGCTTAGTCTGATCTGATCTAATCTCAGCTTATTATATAAATATCAAAATTTAGTATAATTTGATCTGGGCTATATAAGGATGTTTTTACTTGGACTGTAATTTGCTGGTCTGGTCTGGTCTGGTCTATTTTGGTCTGGTTTGGTCTGGTCTGTTTTGGTCTGATCTGGTCTGATCTGATCTGGTCTGAAATTTTATTTTATATTTTTTGCATAAAGATTTTATTTTTTATATATATTATAATCCATAAATAATTATATTTTATTCATTTATAATTACAAATAATAATAACAATAACAATAATAATAATAATTAGTGGTGTGCACTATCCGGTTTAAACCACAAAACCGGACCGAACCGGACCGGAAAAATTGGAATTGGATCGAACCGGAATGATATCCGGTCCGATTCGGTACGGTACGGTCCAGTTTTGAACAGGTGCACACCCCTAATAATAATAATAATAATAATTAGGGGTGTGCACTAGCCGGTTTAAACCGGAAAACCGGATCGAACCGGACCGGAAAAACCGAAATCGGATCAAACCGGAATGATATCCGGTCCGGTTCGGTTCGGTCCGGTTTTGAACCGGTGCACACCCCTAATAATGATGATGATGATGATGATGATGATGATGATGATGAATTGATGATGATGATGATGATGATGATGATGATGATGATCATAATAATCATAATAATAATAATTATTATAATAAAATATGGTCTGGTCTGGTTTGGAACGAATTACAATCAAAGTAAAAACAACCTAAGCCTCGTCTCTTTAAATTTGGTTTGTTCTATTCTAGTCCGGTCTAGTCTCATGTGGAAGTGAAAACCATCCGAGTAAAAAGGTAAAAGGGTCAAATAAGGTTTTTTATTAATACGAAACTATCACATAAAGTTATAACAGAAGACTTTGTTGAGTACATGATCTAATGTGACAATTCTGTAATAACAGAAGACCTTATTTTGACCTTTTTTCCGAGTGAAAACGTCCTAAACTGTCTCGAAGTGACAACAAAGTTATACCTAATTTACTCTTATAATACTCCTAATTTCAAGAAAGCGAGGCAGCTTCAAACTATTAGGGATTCTACAAAAAGACTCTCGAACTAGAAGACCTAGCAAATAAATGGTTCGATTCATTGAAATAAAGCAATCACACTCTTTTTACTCGTGGCATTGATGAGAAAAAATGATCAAATTGCTGTATTTCAATGAGGGCGTTTGTAAAATCTTTCTATTCAAAGGCCTTAGTGTGGAATTAGAATGAGAGTTTGAACCTGCATGGGTAGCTCAGTTGATCGAGTGGTGGGAGATTTGGAACAATGGACCAATGTTCGAATCCCCGCAGCGACCGGGTGGATGTCACATAATCTGAAATAAGACTGGACTTCTGGTGCGCACGGGTGTATGAGCCTACTGCCTGACTGAGTTACCATGACTAATCTCCCCACCATCCTGTCGAATCGGAATGGGGGTTCCTGAGGTAGGAGATTAAACCTTTTGGAACAAAGAATGAGAGTTTGAGACCAATTCAGGATTGTCCACGGGTCCCACCTCATCCTCACTAGATGAGGGAAGCAGGGTGCAACGCAGCAGCACCACCTGCTCAGATTACGATGGAGGTAAATTATCGCATTTCATAATTCATACCCCTCTTTTTCCTTATTTACAATATATTACCCCCCACCGAAAGAAAGCAAATGCAGAAGCAACAAAGCCAATTACAGTATTTCTTTGGATTTTGTCTCCAGAAATTGCTTCCTCCATTTGAAGAACAGAGAAAATGGACGCTTTCACATCAGTGACACACCCCAGTTCACGCTCTTCTGCTTTGCTGGGGCACAATTTTCAGCGCATATCACATAGCCATTGTTCAGTCGCGGTGAAGGAAGAAGCAGTAACCTGGCGCTTAACTGCGGCGAGATCCGTGAGGTCCCCAAAGAGGCGGCGATCTTTGACCTGTTTTCCTGCTACTCGCCTTGCGATCAGAAGCGCAGCAACCAAACCTTCCAAATCACCAGGTATTTGCCACTATAGATTCAAAACATACATGCAATAGCTTCGGTTCGAATTTGAGTTTGTTCGTTCTTACTGCGTATGATTTTCTGATGGAATCATAGCTGAAGAAGACTGGTCAATTAAGAGAGCAAAACTGGTGGAGAAAAGAGTGAGGAGCGTAGATCCAAAGGAAGCATTGAGACTTCAAAACGAAAACAGCTTTGTGATTCTTGATGTGCGGCCAGAAGCAGAGTTCAATGAGGTCAGCCAAATCCTCGGAATTTCTCTGCAGCTTCCGAGTGGTGAATCAATGAAATAACTATCTGTGTTTAATTTGGTTTTATAATGCTCAATGTGGTATGTGATGATCAGAATTAATATAATGCTGAGGGCAGTGTTTGGGGTTAGCTCAAACTCAAAATTAAGGGTTAGCTGAAATTAGCTTTACTGGAGACGGAGGGAGTACCTTTTTAGCCAAGTGAACAAGTCAATTTGTGCAAAATGAGCCAATTTCAGCTAGCAAACCAGAGAAATTGGCTCTAAACGAGATATAATGAGCAAAATTATCTTTCTAACGAGATATAATACGCTCTAAACGGAAGAACACACAGCAAGATATGAGTGTCACAAATACGTAGAGATAATTTTATCTTTTCACCTACTGAAATATTAATTAACGAATGACATGTTTAACAAATAGTCTTCTGCTCCCTCCTGCTTTTAACAATTAGAGTTCATTGTGCAACAATAATTAGGTATCCAGAGTTAAAATGTTCATCCAAAAAAATATACGGAGTATAATTATCATTAATACTCCCTCCGTCCCGTTAACTTTACCAAATTTGGCAAAGTTGTGTGGCTCTAAATCATTCTCACTTTATTCTTACTTTATCAATTCAATATCAACCAACTTCCCTCCCATTTTTATTTAGAAGATAACTAACAACCTGATCATCACATATTAAAAGTAACACATCCATAACATTGGAGTTATCATCAATTACCCATTATATTATCTCAACACTTCTCCTTTCAGAAAATTAAACAGATTCAGTTCCATATAATACTCACCGAATAGCCTTTAAATTGGTTTGCTCCAAGTGAAGCCCTATTGGATCCAATAATGTATTTTTTTAGGCTCACCCACCAGGAGCTATCAATGTGGAAATATATAGGCTGATAAAGGAATGGACAGCTTGGGACATTGCAAGAAGAGCAGCATTTGCCTTTTTCGGCATATTCCAAGGAACGGAAGAAAATCCCAACTTTCTTCAGAGTAATACTCCTCATCTTATGTCTTAGGTGTGCTCACTAGCTTAGCAGCAAATAGGTACCAACTTATATGTTTTAGCCACAGGTAAATTAGATTATTTTCTCTTTTCGTCTTGTAATGTATTTTCCGACTTTGGCACACAATTATTAGTTTGTTGCAATAGACCAATCATGAAATTCATGTGCTCTACTGTGGCCTTGGCTTTAGTTGGATCAGTTGCTCCTTTGAATTTAGTTGACTGTCATGTCATTATCATATTCAGACTTAGGGTTCCATCGATCAACCTAATATCTATGTTTAAAAACCCTACCCGGCGACCCGGACCAAAACCCGGTTTGCAATATATTTATATACTACTTATTTGTTTAAGAATAAAACTCATGTCAAATTATTTAATAAATGTAGAGTACAAATAAAAAACACGGAGTATAATTATATATTTTAATAAAATCAAAATGGTATTTTGGAATATTATGAGACTGTTTTAAGTAAGTATACGAGGAATTGTCCTAAACTTTGTACTTTCGTTTATTCTAAAAAATCCTAAAAAGTTAACCTTATTACTTAGTATAAGTAGCTGGTATGGAATACCTTACCATGTATATAGGCATATAGCCAATTTACATACATTTTATAACTAATTATTTGCTGGATGAGTAGTAAAATAAGGTCTTAAAAGTAAAAAGAAATTGATAGTTCTGCATCAAAAGTGGGAAAAAGATGAAAGTTAGAGACCAAAAGGTGAAATGTACCGTGTGGAGTATGGACGAAAAGTGGATTATTTCAACTAAGTTTCTAAGAGTATTTGATAAATGCAAGCAGCTGTGGAATCAAAATTAGATAAAGATGCAAAAATCATAGTGGCTTGCTCATCTGGAGGTACAATGAAGCCATCTCAAAATCTCCCAGAAGGCCAGCAGTCAAGGTTCACAGTCTCCCTCTTCGTTTTTCCTTTCCTTTTCTTGAAAGCTACTTAGATTAATTCATGTTTGATCCCAGGTTACTATAAGTGATTTCACTTACTCTTCTACTACCTCCGTGCAGGTCACTAATTGCGGCCTACTTGCTGGTTCTGGAAGGTTATACCAAAGTTTACCATTTGGATGGAGGACTCTATGCCTGGTTTAAGGAAGGATTGCCAGCAGTCTCTAAAGAATGAAGCCAGAAACTTTTCTAGTCTTCGCAGACACGCTTTCTTTTTAAGATCATGCTAGAGTGTAATGTTTTATTTTGTATAGAGCTGCTTTTGGAAAACATAACATATTACCGAGCAATAATATCTTACCCACCTAGGTACGTGAATTCTTGCACCATCTGGCCTGAAAAGCGTCTGCATATGAATGCAGAAGGGGAAATGTCATGAATTCAAAGATGAAAACAGAAATGTCAACGTGAACAAAAATCCTCGTACGTTACTGAGCCTAGCTAGTAGGTTTACTTAATTGGCGTGTCGTGTCAAAAGGGTGGTCTTGGAAGCAATTATTGAAGAGAAAACTGATAAATGTCCAAAAACTAGAGGAGGATGGGGAGTTCGACTAGCACACGTTTCTCTAGATTTGTAGCCTGAATAAAAATGACAAACCAAATGTTCCAATCACTTGATTTCTAACATCTTTAGATCAGAATAATGTTCATATTCTATGGAGATATTCATAATTTCACATTTCCACACACGGTAGGTTAATTAGGTTGGTCACCAAGTATAAATTTAAGTATTTGGCGGAGTCGAAGCTTTCCAAATTTTCATTGGATGTTGCAGCTTCATTTCTGTATATGCTCCATCTATATATGGGACACTCGAATTCTTTTGAACGGAACGGAACTGACCAAGCGGTTTCGAGTTGGGGTCGTGATCGAGTTGGGCAATATCCGAGTGACGGTCCCAATTACCTATTTTGGGACCAGAACCTACCTTGCCAACGCCAACATCAGCAATGTTTAAGATCCCGGCTCACTTATTTGAAGATCATGGACCGGACAACCTTGTTTTTAACGCCTTATAACCTGAACTGGACCCTGATCCATGACATCCATCCCTAACTCCTATTTCATAGTGTCAAATATGGTTTCTCATACGTTGTATTTACTTTAATTAACTGTAATTAAACCAATAAAATTGATTTTTAATACTACGTATATAATTCTAACAAATTGACACAAATAATCAAAAGTTAGAAGAAAATTGTGTTGATGCATGGCATTCATAAATAATGACAAACATGAAACCAATTCAAGGGCCCCATTGTATCCTTAGGGCCCCTCAAAACCTCTATATTTTCTATTATTATAATTGTTATTGTTATTTTTAATATTATTATTAGTATTATTGTTATTATTATTATAAGATTATTATAAAACTGGACTACCAACCTTTGTCGTGTAAAATATTATGACAATACTCTAATTTTATAGTAGAAAAAAAGATGGCTCTCCATCCCTAGTACAAAATGACTATTAAGCATAAATCCCGGAATGCTCCAAATCAAGTTTAAGTACAGAATTTTCTACTTGATCAGTTTCTACTTTCAAGTAGCTTCAGAATGCTTGAAGCTCAATCTTGTTCATTGTAGTACTCATATTTAGATATAATATGATGGAAGAGTAATTAAGATATTACCCCTTTATTTGAAAATCCAAGTTTACTTTTATTTTCACCATTTTAATGCTATAATTATTATTTCTATCACCATTTTATTACTTCTACTCTCTTTTTAGTTGTCCCAAAAGCTTCCTTTTAAAGTAACGAATGTATGACTCTATTCATTAATCTTCTCTCTGCAAAAATCTCAACTGCACAATTTTTACTTTTTTAATTTCATACTCAATATAAAGTTGGCAAAGTTGAGTGAGTTGAGTGGGAAGTAGATAATAAAAAATATTAGTACCTCCCTGTTTAAAAGACCTAAGAATCAAATTACTCCGTATATACAAATATAATAATTACAAACATTGTTCAAAATTTGACGTATATACAAATATAATAATTACAAACATTGTTCAAAATTTGACATCATTGATAAAGAAAAGTGAGACCGTTAAATTGGATAGTACTCGGTAACTAATAAGTGTAGGCAACGTGTAAGGACTGAATAACCATTGGTTTGTCGGTACTTAATAATGCAAGAACACTCTAAGCATCCCACCTACTGTTTTTGGGCCATGGGGGGTATGACACATACACCGTACTAAAGAAAAAAAATGTTTTTTTGATATTGACTTTTAAATTAAGTCCATTTTGAACCGCACAGGTGTGGCAAATACGATAGTATAATATTTGATTTTTTTGAATCAAACAAAATGAGAAGTTGTAACAAAGATAATTACATGCCTCGTGTCAAGGTTTTATTTGTTTTTACATGCCTGTTCTAGTGTTCTATATGAATGTTTACATTCTATTTCATAAAATCATTATTTCTTTTAAATGAATAATTTTTTCAAAAAATTAATTCTATGAAATTTATTTACGAAAATATGGTTAATAGTTATAAAATTGTGTCATAATCACTTAAGAGTAAATACTGCACAAAAGTTGTGTGACTAAAGTTATTACTGTAGTCATCATATTTAGGATGTCATAATATTCTAAACAATCTTTATTACTAAAGTAATTATACGGTGCCATATATGACTTCATTACGGAGTTATATGACTTTTGTTGCATCACCATAATCATCTATTTTTAAAACCGGGTCACCAAATATTAGTTCATTAAATAAATAAGCAAGTCCATGTCTCCATAGTGGAATCATACAAGACTTCAACATAATTTTTCCCCCTTATTTTGAATTTTTAATCATATAATTTTAATTAATATATTATAACCACGCCATTTATTGAACACATACTATCGTACATTACTTCATCCGTAACATTCATATCTTTCCAAGTTCGTTTTTCGACTGTAATATTCTATCGTATATTACTTCATCTGTAACATTTATATCTTTCCACGTTCTTTTTTCAACTATAACATTCATATCTTCTCATTTCTAAATCTTCTCATCATGCGTCCGCTCAATAATTTTGATAATAATACACTATTACAACTACGTTTTTGAGTATATCCTTCATTTCAGCACACAATTTTTTCATTCCAGCAAACTATTTCATTACTTTCTTATCATATCCTTAATATTTATATATCATTTCACTATTTTTAATCTCACCTACTTTTAAACGGAAGGATATAAATGTTAGAAGTAGTATATCATTTCGCCAAACTATTTCTCAAATAAATTTGATTTTTAATAGAATAATTTTCTAAAAATGTTACTCCCTCCGATCCTTAATGAAGTTTACACTTTGATTTCACACATATTAAGGAAATAAATTTGACTTTAATGTAGAGTACACTGTTTTATTAATCGGAAAAGGGTGGAGGCAGTGTTATCAAAGTTTGATAATGATAACTGTGTAAAAGTAGGATGTAATAGTGTTGTAGACGTCAATTGATCACAAGAGAATTGTCCAATTTGTGTGGTGAGGGTTTCCCAATCGTTGATCCAAAACATCAATAATTAATACTTATGTCTCTATATACATTATTGAGTGAGCAAGGAAAAAAAATCAAAAAATTGGATCAAGAGAGAATAAACAACAAAAACCAGAATTCAACTGTACAGTCTGCCGGAACCTGCCGGCGAAGATGGGGATGGAGGATGAAGAAGAGTGTGAAGCGTCGGAAACCCAGGAATCTGAGGACGGAGGCCTGCGGCGGAAGAGGGCGGCGTCCAAGAAGAAGAAGAGCAAGAAGAGCAGTTGTAAGAGGTTCAGCAATGAGCAAGTGAAGTCACTGGAGACCATTTTCAGGCTGGAAACAAAGCTGGAGACGAAGAAGAAGCTGCAAGTGGCCAGAGATTTGGGGCTGCAACCTCGTCAAGTAGCGATATGGTTTCAGAACAAAAGGGCGAGGTGGAAATCCAAGCAAGTTGAGCACGATTTCACAGTCCTCAAAGCCAAATTCGACCACCTCATTCTGCAGTTTGATGCTCTTAAGAAAGAAAACGAGGCTTTGCATATGCAGGTAAATAACTACTCCGTAATTAAATAAATATATATCACTCTAATATACTTCCTTCCTTCCATAATTCTTATAACATTGTGATTTTTGCACTATTCACATACCTTACTTTGATCACGATTTTCTACTAATATACATAATCAAATTATTACGTATAGAATATTATTAAATTCCTATCAATGTGAATTTCCAAAATATCAAATTTTTATAATGTTTACTAATACATAATTAAATATAATTACAATGAAAGTCGTGTGTTGACAAATATAAAAATAAAATTGTTGAAAGAATTAAAGAATTTTTCCACCTAATCCCGGAACTAGTCCTCTGAAATTCACTTTTTGGAATGAAATCTCAATTATGCTCAAAGTAGTCATGAGGTTCGACCAAAGACAAAAAGAGAAGAGTACCCTGCTTTGGATATCCAAAAATGGCCACACGTATAAGTTTAGAATTACCTTCTCGGAGTACTATCTTTAAAAAGGTAATCAAAGTATGATTAAATGATGCATTAGACACATTCAATAAGATAAAATTAATCGGGTGAAAGGTGATGAAATGAGCAAAGTTCATATTGAAAAAAATTATATCTAAAATATACGAAGTATTTTATAAATAAAATAATTAAAAGCTTATACTCACTATCTATTAGAAAGAGTTAAAACAATTATTTTTCTTCAATTTAAGTCAATCTAGCTAGAAAGAAAAGAAATTCTACCCTAGTACCCCTGTTTGTTTTGATTATGATAGAAATTGATACACGCAATTACACAAATACGTAATCAGAGAGCCTTTGTCAATACTCAAATCGGCTATATCCACTGATTTTGATGAAATTTTGTTTAGTTGAAGTAACTCGATTGGTTGATACCGTTGATTTATTGGAAAAAAATATTTACAATATATTTTATTAATAAAATAAAGATAAATTATATATAAAAAATTAGCTAAAATGATTCTGTACAATAATTTGAACCAATAAAGTCAGAAAAGTAACTCACCGTTCGAAATCAAAAGTTACGTGTTTTAGTAAAAAATCGACTGATAAACCTGATAAATAAAAAAAAAAGTCTCAAAAATTGTGTATTAATAAGAAAATTAGTTTAAATAGTTCAAAATTAGTTGTTATCAAACCGACTTTTAATCCATCCTTAATCTTTTTCCTCTAACACCAACTTCTTAAATGTCACCTATGCCTAAGGGTGGGCACGGTCCGGTTCGGTACAATATTTTACCGAACCCGTACCCGGACCATTACTATTGAAACGGTTCGGTTCGGTTCGGTCTTAGACCTAAACCCGTTCGGTTCGGTTTCATTTTCAAACGGTCTAGTACCATGTCATACCAATGCCAAACAATGTCACTTTTTTCGATAAATTAGAACTTAGTCAACATCCAAAAATCCACACAAGTATGAATTTTCATAGTACGTCCGTCCTAAAAAACTTTGTCATTTCAAAAAATTTGAACCATGATTTTGATTAGTATAGAGTATTATGGAAGTTATAAATTTTATAGTTTTATGAAAGTATTTTTAACAAAGAACATTTTCATATAATTTTTATATTATAAATAATTCTCAATAAAAAATATAATTGGTCAAAGTTTTGAAAATGGAAGAGTTTTTTGGGATAGAGGTAGTATTATATAGTTAAAGAATTTCTTATAAACTACTACGTATAATAGTACAAAACATAAATAACTAACAATAACATAGTTAATGAATTTTATATAATATTATTCATTTTTACCGATCCGGTTAACTAGCAATTAGCAAAGTGCAAATGAGTAATCAAAGTAATTAATGGTAATATGGTATACATGTATATATAATTATAAAATTATAATTCGGTTCGATTCAAACCGGTACCGGTTCTCATTTTATGAGAACCGGTCATGACATGGTTTCGAATCGGTCTGATCCGGTTCGGGACAAATTTTTTTAGAACCCTTTGAAATCCCGTTTTCCGGTCCGGTATCATACCGGTCAGGTTTGGTACCATGCGGATTAGGTTATTATGCCCACCCTACCAATGCCACTAGACCACGATCGTTGCCAGCCTTGCAAGCTTCAGAGCTGTCTGACAAATTTGAGAAAACTTGCAAAAGTGACATGGAAAAGTAGAGGTGAACATGTGGTTTTTTATTAAATTTGTTTTGAAATATGTTGAAAAAAGATTACCAAATACTCCGTACAAATCATATTGTGTACTACTCCGTATGTTTTTTGTTTGATCTGATTTAATTGATTTGAATTTGTTACTCCTTATATTTTCTAAACTTGTCTTTTTCATCCGTTCCAATTGAATTTCACATTTCATTTTTGGTAAACAATTTGTGGTTCACAACATTTCTTACACATTTCTCTTTTCTCTGCACAACTCTCCATCACACAATATTCACTTTTCTTAATTTGTGTGACAAAGTGAAACGGAAGATATAATAGGAACAGAGGGAGTACTTTTTAATAAAATATAAAGATTTTACCTATTTTATAGCGTTTTGATATAGTTCAATTCGATCATACTATGAACTGATATGCCCACTCTCGTATAAAAGGGTTGTATTTGGTCTCTTATTGGATTATTTTAATTTTCTTAAGAACTTTATTATCAACTCAGAACGGAATGATTAACGCAGGATTTGAAAGATGGAATATGTCGGTATAGGTCCTTAATGATTAAAAACTATTAATTTATGACCTAAAATTTCACAGATTTTGATTTATTTAATTTTGTACTAATTTCATTGCTAATTTTTGATGATTTTTTCGTTACAAAAGTTTCTTAGTTTAGTACATTAAATCTTTTAAATAAAAAAATTGATGACTACTTAGATCCTAGACTAAAATTTTCAATTGATAAAATTTCATTTCCTTGCTACGTCCGCTCCCTTAAGATCAAGACAAGAGGTGCACAATTTTTAAGAAAAGTAAAGATAATTGATTGATATTAAACTAATAAAGTGTGAATAATGTAAGAAGGCGAAATTCACAAAAATAATCTCTACTTTTAAGAATTTTACGATAATGATCCCTATTAAGCGTGTTCATAAAAATAATTCAGACTAGCAGTAGTGTCCACATGAATCAATTGGGGTGAACTCAAAGTATTATTGTTTTAATACTTCCAACTCCTACCTCCACTTTCTTTCTCACCCCTCTTTGTCTCGGATAGCACTTATATCTTTCGATCTAAAGATAACCACATAAGGCGGAAATGACGTTGAAATTAAACGATTTTTAGTTTGAATTTACCATGAGAAGAAGAGCGGGAAATAGAAAAATAGGAGTAGGGGTTAGGAGTATTAAACGGACATTAGTTTGAGTTCACCCCAATTTACTTTTCTGAACACTATCGCTAGTTCGGATTATTTTTATGCACACTTTGAGTAAGGATTATTATTGTAGATTTCATAAAAGTAGAGATTATTCTTATGATAAAACTATTCAAATATTACTCAATAAAAATCGGATTATCATAGGAGATGAAGGGAGTCTATTTTTATCATATTTTGATCCCTTTTTTTTGGAAGAAATAGGCTTAAATTGATAGCACATCCTTTAGATAGTAGGTAAATAGACAAAATGACTCCGGACAACCGCCGACTTTCGAACCAGACTCAAGTTTATAACATATTTTGATCCCTTTCGAAAAGACTAGCTTATTTATAATTTATCTGGTGTAACGAACCACTGTCTTCATCTTATCAATAGGCGGAGAAACTAAGATGGGAGCTCGAGAGGAGCGGAGCAGGGCATAGAAAAAGGCAAGATACACAAGGCACGGAGAGGAGGTATACTGATTCAGACAACACAAAAGGCGATTTTGAGCATCTGGTGTGCTTAAGTCGAGGAACAAGTCATGAATTTCCAGCAGAGGATATGAATAACCACATGCAGGAGGTGGACGAAGAAGCGGAGTTCTTGAATCTGGAGGAGCTAGGCGGCGGCGCCCCATTTGCGTCACCTGATCATTGGTGCGGCAGTCGCAGTCGAAGCAGCTTAAACAGCCCCTTGGACGACTCGTCGGGTGGGCGTGAGCCTTCGGAATGGTGGGAGTTTTGAGCTTTTAAGTTCATTCGATCAGCTAGCTAGAGCTTCTGGAAAGTAATTAGCTTAATACACACTCACACTGCGAGTCTGCGATCGTACCAGCTGGGCTCTATTCTGTTTGATCAGATCATTCTTGTTTTTTAGTTTTAGTTCATATATAAAGAAAACGATTTGTACACGCCATTTTACCTAGGGGTGGGCACGGTTGGTTAACCGGATTTTGGTTAACCAATTTTCGGTTAACCGAGATATCGGTTACTAAATTTTCAATATCACTATCCGTACCATAATATTGGTTAACCGTATATCGGTTAACCAAATATTCGGTTAACCACTAACGGTTAACCAATAAACCATAAAACAATTAACAATAAAGGGAAATATACTTCATGAACAAAAACTCGTAATACTGGTGGGCTCAATACTCGTCACCCATGCAATAACCTTGCAAGTAATGGTGTAGTTGATTCCATTTGAAGCACAATTATTATTATTATTATTATTATTATTATTATTATTATAAATATTTATGATTTTGGTCATTAATTGGTTGACGGCCGCATTTTGACAAATTTTTCAGCTTTGAGTTTTATCCTTAATTATAATCAGCTCTTTAAATGTGACCAACGAGGAGAGCAGCTATGGCAACGACTGTGGGAGACTTTCCAGTGATATCGACTATGAACCGGAAACAAATATTACGTAGTATAATTATTCAAAATTTCACTACCGGTTAACCGCGGTTAACATAACTTCAACCGTCAACATACCATGAACCGCTTTTTCTTCGCGGTTGGTTAACCGTACCGCGAATTTTAAAAAATTCGGTACGGTTAACCGAAAAATACACCGTTTTTTCGGTTATTTACCACGGTTAAACGGTTACGGTTTTTCATGCCCACCCCTAATTTTACCACTCTTATTATATTTTGCCAGTATTATTAGCATTAATCATCCTAAACAATGCAAAAGTTGACTATGATGAATATCAAAATACACGGTCTTGTAGCTAGAAAACGTGGGTAAGTTATCGTGTATACGGATCGATGGATAATAGGGTATCCAAACATGTAATTTAGGAGAGATTATGGTAGAAAGTGGAGAAGAGGATAGAATAGTAGAAATGAGTATGAGTAAGTGTAAGGAGTTATGTTGTGAATTTGTGACTTAGGTTTACAAGAGCTCTAAGAGGAGTATTTATAAGAGAAATAAAGGGTTGGGCCACTAATATGGGCTGTTGGTGTAGCACCGTCCCCAAACATATTTACTTTTAGTGAATTATGTAATAAACCTTGAAAGATGATTTATAAATTTGTGTAATCGTAAATTTTTAATATTTCTTTTACGTGAATAGTAAATTGCATGTGGGGCCCACGCCCGGACCGGGGGGGCCGCCCGATAATTCCCGAACCACATATTAGATTCATCTTGGTCTAGATGACATCTACATGGAGGTGGATATTTTATTTGGGCCATAAGAAAGGCATGGAGTTGACCGGTTGGTCAAACGGGCCCAATTACCGTTATTGGTAATTTAGCGGATAACAGCCCGAAATGAGTTTCGGAGACTCCTAGATTAATGTTGGGAAATGTACATCTATTCTAAAGGCTCATAATTATTGGGAACGCGTGATATATTTTATTTGGTCCGATAAAATAAAATATGATTAAAACGAGTCGAGAAATACAACTTTCGGGGTTGATTGTACACACCGGGACTTAATGGGATGACCTTCCACATAAGTGGGGGCCACCCCACGTTTTTATGGGTGCTGATTGACCCAAACTAATGGGAAGGGGACATCCAAAGGTGGCATATCCGGACTTGTGATTGAGGGAGTGATTGGAGGTACATGCACATCCATTTAGGGCCCTATCAACACCTCAACTTGGTGTTTGATTGAGGATAGGTACCTCCCCCCTCATTTGAGCCATACGGATAACCCAAAGGAAGAGAGAAGCTCTAGACATCACCTCTCAAAAAGCTCAAGCTTGAAGGAAGCAAGAGAAGAGGAAATCCAAGGAGAAAAGTATAGTGTTTGAGGTAAGAACTCAATGAGTATTCTTGTAACTAGTTTATTCTTGTATGATTTTTTTTTAGAAATCATACTGTGGATTAAACCATGAGTTCTACACGTTTAAAAGTGTAGAATATTGTTATAAAGTGGTGTTAATTAACTTAGAAGAGTTGGTGAATCGATAGGAGTCGAAATCGCCGGAAACAGCCACATATAGGGAGCTGTTCGTAGTTGCAGACTACGAAAGCCGCCCGGCTTTGGCCCAGGAATCCAGCTTTTCACTTTGAATCGGCTTAGAACGGGGATTTATCGAGGGGCTTATCAAAGGCAACTATTGTAGCACATCACGAGGTGAGGATGACTGACTATATTGCTTATAATTAGTGAGTTAATTTTCATAAGATTGCCTAAAGTAATTAGATGTGATTTTCATGGATTATTAATGATTAATAATGCCAAAATGAAAATGATATTGATATGAGTAAGTGAAGCATGATATACAAATTTAGAATAATTGTGTATGATTATGTGAAATAAATGGAACGGCATATTAATGGAATTACTATGATGACATTGTGATAAAATATACTTTACGCCATGTATGAAATTCATGAACGGAGTAAAGTGATATATTTGATATTGAGATCAAACTATACTTGTGTTGGGAAATCAATTGAAACGAAAAGTCAATTGGAAAATAGGAACTTGGCATGTTATGAGATTATCCAATTAGTATCAAAGTATTAGTCGGGAAATTAATATAAATAAATGATGAAACAAATCCTAAGAGGTAGGATTGTGAATAGATATGCCTTAAGTAGTCTCAAGAGGTACTTTAAGGTTGAATTGTATGAACACTAAGGTGTGATAGGGGTAGGCCTAAAGGCTACCTACGGAAATTGATTCTAGGCATAGGAATTTCTTGAGAATTTAATTATGAAAATAATTAGAGTTGGACTCTAAGATGACATGGAAATGTAGTTGGGCCGAGCCCATGCCATGTAATATGATTAGCATGGAAACGTAGTTGGGCCGAGCCCTTGCCATGTATATGTGAGCTCCGTGGAAACGTAGTTGGGCCGAGCCCTTGCCACGAAGTTATGGTGGGTATGGAAACGTAGTTGGGCCGAGCCCTAGCCATACAAATTTTGATATGTTACATTGAGTTAGAGGATTGTATAGAAATGTAGTTGGGCCGAGCCCATGCTATACAATTGGGGCTCGATGGGACCCCACGGGGTTATCGTGACTTGCGGTCACGGGGGAAGGGAAATGATGAATTCTAAATGAATATGGGCCCACGGGCCGACTACTTGACTCTATATAAAAGAAGTACAGTTAAAAGAAAAAGGGGTAACCAAGGGTTATGGCCTATAATATAATAGTACCCTAAGTTGAGGGTCTTAGAAATTAAAACATCAATTATACTTAGTATAGTTGCTATTGTACTTGTCAAATAATTCCAAGTACTGACATCCCCTTCACGGGGGAGGCCACCTCACAGTTTTAGGTAGAACTTGAAGGTTGCTACCATTGCCCGCTGCTTCGGGAGGAATCAAGGGAGGAAGACGTGGTTCGTGCTTCTTCCGTTCTGTTTTAAAAACAATTACATTAATGCTCATGGATACTATTTTCTGAATAATTACTTTGGGGGCTTGTATGCCTAGTTATGCCAAGTGTGGCTTGAACAATTGTATTAATGCTTCCGCTATTTTAATTGCATGTTTTACATTATGTTTGTTTATGGATGTACTATGTGTGAATGGTATTCAAGACGCCTTGTATAGTATGGATGAGTTGGACTGCGGTTGACTATTCGTACTGTACGGCGGGTTGTTGACGTGTCCGGGTAGGTCCGGGGCGTGACAGTTGGGATATTGACCCGGAGGCCTAATACTCGGATTAAAGGCCCAGGACATCCAGCCCAAACTACGAGTCCACTACCTTATGATAAGTAGGCCCAACGAGATATTCATATCGAACGAGGTTCGGGCCAAGTAAAGGGTGGCCCAGAAGACAGACATACCGAACGGGTTTCGGGTCATGCATCATACTTGGGCCAAATCAACAATGTTTTACAGGGCCCATTATCCCGTTCGGGCAACGGACAACCAGAGGTGGCCAGGTGCAATTAATGCCAGATTGTGACATCATCAAGTGGAGACATAGGTGATCAAGTCGGTGGAACATCGGCCAATCAGCATAAAGCATCCCATACTCTCCATTACTATAAATAGAAGGTTTAATATCATTGTAAGGGTTAGCTTTTTAATACTCAAGCCCTAGAATAGCCTTATTACTCTTGTTTCTTGTATTAAGCATCAATCCGACGTACCGTTCGGGTAATTTCCTTGTAATCAAACAAGTCAATTAATACAAGTGGGCTTTTGAGCATTCGATTATCATCTTTTATATTTTTCTTTTACATACCGAATTATTGTCCATTTCCTGATATATCCAAAGTCTGTGTTGGGCTTTCGGATCTACGGGACTAAACCTCAACATTGGCGCCATCTGTGGGAAACTGAACGGAAAGTTTCACACCAAAACAACAACCTATTTTAAAAGATGGTAAGAATCACTTCTCATCATACCGAGGAAAGCCAGACCCCCCAAGGGCAATCCAGTCGGGGGTCCTACCCGCACTTTGACGGGGATTTCGTTATCCCCGAAGCATTAAGGAGGAACCCCAATGCCATGCGAGATTTGGCTCAGTTCATGCGACAAAAAGCGGATGAGCAGGACGGGGGACAGTCCAGCTATATCGGGGAAACTAGATACACAACCCCATCCTTCAATGATGAAACCACCGATGCAGAAACCACTACAGGATCAAATCACTCGCGAGCCCACCGGGGAGACCGCGGAAAAACTCATGCGACCAGGGGCAGGCATCACACTCCTAGTGATCGCACCCGGACCGGGTCCAGGGCCAGGGGAGATACGCCCATTGGCCGCCAATTCCAGTATGAAGAACGTAACAGTACAAGATTCGGACAGAGACGTCACAATCAGAGGACAACTTTGCCGGAGGCGAATCGGGAGTTTGTAAATCTGGGAACTCCACCACCACCACCCTAACAGCTCAGGAGGAAGAAATGGCCGACATGAGGAGACAGATGAACGAAATGAGGGAACAAATGAAGAGAGCCCCTCTGCAGCCTACTCCAGTTCAGGCCGGAATCACTTCCCCTTTCACCCGGGAAATCATGCAAGCAGAAATCCATAGGGATGCCAAACCGCCGACCGGTTAGATATATGACGGGGTGGGAGATCCCCACGGACACTTGAGAAGTTATCAGGGGGTCTTATGCTATTGGGAGCATCGGAACCGGCCATTTGCCGACTTTTCTTCAGCACGCTCAGGGGGCCTGCCCAAGAATGGTTCGAGACCCTGCAGCCTGGATCAATCGGTAGTTTTTCCGAATTATCAACATTATTCCTGGCCCAGTTTGCATCCAGTGCAACTCCCAAGAGGCATTTCAGTTACCTGACTAGTATCAGGCAGGGCCCTAAAGAGACCTTGAATCAAGAGATGGAGAGATGAAACCTTAAAAGTGGGGAGCATGACGGATGATACAACCATCACTCTGTTTACTAACGCTCTCCGAACGGGGGAATTGTATAAAGAGCTGAAAAAAATCCGGGTACGATTTATTTTTAAGTGCTCGGCAGATCTCGGAAACATGCGGCTCTCGAAGAAGAAATCCAGATAAGGTTGCTGCACCCCCCACGCCAATAAAACTGGCCGATCGGATGGGTCATATCCCAGCGGCCGCCCCACCTTCAAGAGCGGCACGATTCACTCCTTTGGTCCTTTCTTTAGCGACCATTTATCAAAACGAGAAGGACAACATTCCCCCTCCGACTGATACCAAAGGATTTATGGGGACAGATGCAAATGCTTTTTGCAAATACCACAACAGGGGCGATCACTCCACCCAATCCTGTCGGGCATTGCAGATAGCCATTGAGAAGTTGATCCAGATGGGTCATCTAGGTAAATATGTAAATACGGACCCAAATGCTACAGGCATTCTGAAGCCGATCAGGAGATCTAACAGCTGGAGGCGAGATGTACAGCGTGATGCTCGCCCCAGAAATGATGTATATAATCCTCCCAGAGATGAGTGTAGTGAGGTGAAGAGGAATATAGTCTTCAATAGGGGCCGAGGGTTGACACCTTTGTCCACGATGGTGAGATGCGTCGTTAAAAACTTCACTAGGGAAAAACCTTGTGGGAAAAAATTATAATGAGAAAAAAAGAGTACACCGGATGTCTCTTAAATGAAACAAAAGGGTGAGCCCTTCCGTCTAGAAATTAAAAGTCCATAATAATCTAGGTGTATTCAATTTGGATTTTAGAAATTCAATAACAAATCTACCAATGTTTAGAGCTACTCAATAAAGACTTCTAAAAATGAATAAAAAAGTTTGGAAAAATTGAAAATAATAATCTCAATTATTGCTGGTCCGCTAACAATAATCCCAATTATTGATTGTTTTTGTATAATCTAAACTATATGGACCGTCCGCCAATAATGGTCTATGACCGCATATTACCTGCTCTAACAAGTGATTTTTTTAATAGAAATTAAGCGTAAAAATTAAAATTTGGGATTATTTATAGGGGTTACATGCTATATCTTTTTAGAAACTATAAGAATTTATTTATAGTCGGTCACGTCGGATCATTATTGGCGGAAGGTCCTTAAAGTTGGGATTATTCTGAAATATTCGACAGTTGGGATTATTATGAGCAGACCGCCAATAGTTGGATTATTACAATCAATTTTTCCTAAAAGTTTTGGTGTATTGAAAAAAAATATAAAAGAATTGGAAAATCATTCATAATAATGGATTTGAAAGCCTTTAGTATGACTGTATGAGTAATCATTCTCTATTATTTGCTCATCGTCTCCTTTAACATTTCTGTAATATCTACTTCCAGCTCAGGTCTCATCCAAATAGCCTATTTCCTCTAACAAGTGTCTTTGATTTGGTCGGAAAATAGCCTGCTGGCTGACGCCCCTTTCCCTTAGTGATTTTAGTGGTGTTCTTCATCCTTTGTGGGTGAAATTTGGACGAGACCTGAGCTGGAAGTAGATATTACAATTTCAGCAGACTTCTAAATTAGTTATCTCCTTCACTCAGTGACTCAACCGAAGCCAAAGCAACGATGAGCAAATAATGGCCCTTTCTTCTTGTTTCCATTCTTCCCTTCTCCTTTTGCTTATTTTGCCTCTGAAGCATTTCTTGGATGTCGGTTGAATGGTTGGTGCTATTTTTGCTATTTTTGTTAGAGACAAGCATCTTAAGGGGGTGTAAATGTGTTATGTGTATTACTATCTCGGTCCTTTCCAATGAAAAGGAAGGCTCGAGATGACCGAATCGAGTACATTGGGGGTCACGTCCTAGCCGGGTAAATTGGGAAAAAAATTTCAACTTGTCCCTAGTTGAGTGTACGTGGGCCGCTGTCCGGGCCCAATAGTCGTGAGACCCGGAGGTCCGAGTCTATATACTCCATCAGTTATATTCACTCCTTTTAATACTGTACAACCTGTGGTATCGTGGTTTCAACAATGCTTGATGTACCCACTCTTATACCCATCTTATACACACCATTAGGGGTGGGCATGGATCGGGTCGGTTCGGGTAATTGATAAATTTTCAAGAACCGTCGATTCCATTTAACGGGTAGGTTCAATCCGGGTATACCAAGATTCGAAATAGGAACCGGACCTTACCCGCCCCGTTTGAAACGGGCCGGTTCGGTCCGAGACCTCGATTCTTTTTTGTAAAAAAATATGACTATGCAAGCAAAATTTCTAGTAAGTTATAAAGTTCTCAAATTAATTACATATTAATGTAACCATAATATTGTAAAAATTCAAAATAAAAGTATAAGAAAACATTTTAAAGTAGTTACAAAACATCGAACCATAAATCTATAAATTACACAATACACAACCACTTTAATTCAAATGTTAATCATCATTCATAAACTAATTAAAAAGATAGCACCATTGATTCATAAGAAATTAAACTAGTTACTATACATATTTGTCTACGAAAACAATTTAAAGCTTATTAAATCTCCAAGTATAAGTAAAATTAAGATAATTAAATGAATATGTCACACTTCATTGGCTAATAATTGTCTAAGCTAATTAAACTAGTTACTATACATATTAGTCTAAGAGTCTTTGTTTACAAAAAAAAATTAAAGAAAAAAGGTTTGATGCATTTGGAATAGATAATTGAGGTAAATAATTTAGGAGTTTAATTTTACAAACACGGGAATTATTTTTAATAGACTGTGAAGTTTGTTCAATTAGAAGTCTTTGTCTAGACACAAGAACATGAAGAGTTTCCATGTGTTGGTAGTATGTTATATTATACTAATATTAAATATAATAGAAATTATTAAAATAATATTTTAAAACAATTCGGTTCGGGTACTAATTTTTTCAAATTTTATGACTCGTTCGGTTCCTATGTTTTTCAGGACCCGCCCTACCCTGAACCGTTTGGGTTTTCCAAAATTAGGACTCGACCCTAACCCGTCCGACCCGCGGTTCCAATACCCGTTTTCCCACCCTACCCACCATGTTTGTGAAGTTTTTTTTGCCTGTGAACCCGGTTCACATATAATATTTTGTTTGTACAAGATATTATCTGTGAATCCATGTTCATAAGCAAAAAAAACTTTCAAAAACATGAATGAATAAAAAAGTGAATATAAAAATGAGTAGAAACACACTTCCCATTTCCGTATAAAACCTAAAGGGAAATCAAACTGCTCGTCTTCGCAATGCCCATCTCACCTCGACTACTATCTGCTAACTTGCGCATATTACCTACCCCATCGCTTCCTCTCCTCCGATCAACGCCGTCCGTTCCGTTGTCATTTGACACATTCCCCGCCGCATCGCTGTCTTGCTCTATTTGTACTAAAAGTTTGTCCTTAACAGAGAAGGGTATTAGACCGTTTGGATCTCGCACGAAAGCATCAATGGCTGATTTTGCTACTGGGGAGAGGAAGGACAAAGTACAGGTGTTCGATTCCGAAGAGGAGTTAAAGGCGTCTTTGGCGAAATACACTGCCGATTTATCTGAGAAAATCTGCAAAGAGAGAGATTCCTTTTCCGTAGTTTTCTCCGGTGGGTCGCTCATCAAGTGTCTCGGGTAATGCACTAATGTTTCTCCCTCATCTACACTTCATGTATATCATCCTTACTACGAAGTATTATTATTGTTAAGTCAAATCAATGCCTGACCGTCTGGGTTTCAACTGCAGGAAATTGCTGGAACCTCCTTATGTCGACTCTGTAGACTGGTCGAAATGGCATATTTTTTGGGTGGATGAGCGTGTCGTTCCAAAGGATCATCCGGATAGCAATTACTTGCTCGCTTATGATGGTTTTCTATCAAAGGTATATTATATTGTGATTAAATCTTTGCAATTCGTGCGCCCGAGCAATCTGAGAGCCTGTGGCACTTTCTGATTTCAAAGCATTCATCTTCGGATAGTGCACAGTACTATGATGAACCAGAAATGATTTTAAATGAAACAGCCATGATTACATTGCTATTCTATATTCTTTGGCTAGTGTATAGATAAAAAAACGTCAATGCCACACTTGTTTTATCTAAATGTGGATGATTGTATCGTTTTGCATTATGCTCAGTGACCTCAGTCAGTCCCCAGTGTCTGTCTAGTTCCAGGAGACCAGGAGGAAATGGAGTTGGGTGGAGGGGAAGAGAGTACTAAGAAGATTAAGCTAATCTACCTTCAGAATGTTTTAACTTAACAAGGGGAATATGGGAATCTACCCTACCTATTCCCATCCCCTCCATATGAACTGAATAGTAACCAAAATGTTAAGCTTTTTAAGGAGTTGAGATTAAGCAGTGTCTATCGTAATAGTCAGACTAAGTGAGTATTCCTTTTACTTTTCACGTAGATCAGTAGATGTATGCTTCCTATTGACTAATGCACTACTCTTTTTATTATTTATTTTACCTCCTCCATCTCTTCATAAGGTTCATGTTTTGGCTTCTCACATTTCTTAATGTGCCAAAATTTTCCTACTTGACTTTCATGTTTCCCTGATGATATGTGGTTCGGAGTAATAGCTTTAGTAGGTGAGTGTTGAGGATTCTAGTAGAAATGTTGTTTACCAAAAAGAAAAGAAAGACATCTATATTTAGAGTTGTAAGCTGTATTTAGTATTTAGTCAATGTCGTATAAGTTGGTTTTGGCTGAATTTCTGATTGAGCTGATTACGTTAATAAATTGAGAAGTGGTTGTGCCATAAGGGCACAATGTTGTGTCTATAGCTGTATGCAATGCGAGCAAGTTTCTAAACATAAAGTTTGGAGGGCATCAGCAATATGGTACAAGGTAGTGAGATATTACCACAAAGGAAGAAATTATATATCAAAGAGGCTTTGATGGATTATCGGACTATTCCCAGAGAATTTGAAATTTGGGCATGGAATAAAAATGAATTGGAAAGAGACCATTTCGGGTTTTGCCGTGGCCTATAACACTTATTATCAACACTCACAAGTGGTTTTAGGAACGGGCAAATCACTTGGAAACCTTTTGGGGTGGAACACGTGCTAGCCATTATCTTCCTTGGGAGAAAGAGGTTGGATAAACTTGGTAATACTACTTGATAGTAATTGATGGTGCTTCAAATTCATATCATATATGTAGGTAAATGGAAAAGTATTGCCATATATAATAGGATGGAGGAGATTAAATGAAACAGAAGTCAAGTCTTTTACCGAGTCAAACGGACCACAATGGAATATGCTGGGATAAGATTATACTCCGTATTTGTGGAGTAGCTTAGGAGGTTAAGTGAACTTAAGGGCCACACAATAACATACTACGTATAAACGGGTCATACTCCTCTCCATTTACCCTCTCTATTTCTTTTTCACTCTCTCTCTCCTTAAAAATAAGAATTAAACATAATCTTTTCCTTTTCCCTACCCCACCATTTCCCATCTCTCTCTCTCTCTCCTACTCGATAGTTCTAGTTACTGGAGAGGAGCAAAATCCGGTATAAACACATGAAACAGGGGAATGGAGATGTAAACGTGACAATTAAGTTGACACCAAGCATGAGAACGCTATTTACATATGGGAAAGTGTAAGAATAAATAGCAATTAAAGAAGTATTAAAATCCCAAGAAAAATGAACAAAGTAGTGCATGGTGCCAAAGTCAAAAGTACACACAGGTTGTCTGTCAACTAGACTCTAGACTCAAGAGATGCAAAGAATGATTTTATAAGATGGCAAGAAGAAGACAGTGAATGATTAGTTGACATTTATGGTGAAATGATTTACGGAGTATAATAAGAGCGGTGTGTCGCCTTTTTTATGACGAAAATTTAATTTATAAGACGGAATATTACTTTGGTGTTTTTTTTACTCAATTAAAGATCAAGTGGGTGACCTCTCAGGTCTTCAACAACACATTGGGTCAAATCTGTTCATGAAGATGCATTGAATAGATTTTACATAAGCCAAATTCAAACCACAAAAGTTTAAGAGGTGTGAAAAATGAAGTTAAAGAAATCAATTTATCTCAATGGATTTCCCATTAAGATTTGGACGTATTTATGGAAGGTTGATACTGATTAACTCCTAAACTTCTCTAACAAGACTTAGAAGACAACTATAGTCAAATTAATGGTGGGAAAACACTTCCGGTAGCAAACTATTATAGAAACTGGTATGCTCAAAACTGCAAATCAAATAGCGAATAAAACTCATAAATCAGACCATGAATAAGAACAAATCAAACGTAAAAAGACCAGACCATAATAAAATACATATAATATCTTACCATACCAGTTCAATTCAGCTTGACTAGTAGATACCTAAGCAGACTAGACACCTTAAACAATACAGCTTAGATAGGATCAGATCATACCAGACTTAACCAGTAAATTTCAACCCCATTGAGCTTGTCCTAATTTTTACATTTTTCCATTTTGTTGATCGACGCAGTATATTTAAGTGTAGAATATAAATGCCACCAGAGTACCCTGGAGAAAAGCCAAACAGAGTTCATTTTTCTTTTGCAGCTATCCATTCCTGCTGATAATGTGTATGCCATTAATGACGCCTTGTCTGCTAAAGGTGCAGCTGATGATTATGAGTCCCGTCTCAAGCATTTGGTCAAAACCAAAATAGTGTGTGTGTCTGAGGCGAGCGGTTTTCCACAATTCGATCTAATGCTATTGGGAATGGGTCCGGATGGGCATGTTGCTTCTCTCTTTCCTGGGCACCCGCTTCTCAAGGAAAAAGAGAAGTGGGTCACGTTCATCGAGGACTCTCCTAAACCTCCTCCAGAAAGGATCACTTTCACGTTGCCTGTTATCAACTCTTCTGCAAACATTGCTCTTGTTGTACCAGGGGCTTCCAAGGCAGATGCTGTTTATACAGCATTGGGGGGAGGCAGTAAAAATCCTATTTCCTTGCCCGTGCAAATGGTTTCGCCTGAAGGGGAACTGGTCTGGTTTTTGGATAAGGGAGCTGCTTCAAAGCTCTAAGCACTAGCTAAGGAAACATGCGAGTGACTTTTGTTGTCGATCTCTTGATGAGTATTCCGCTAATGTAATCTCAACAGTGCTGTGTTTCGTTGTACTATCAAGCAATAAAGACTATATAATTGTACCTTAAAAGACTGTATGGGATGGCTTCGTATATGGAGAAATTAGGGAAAGAAAACAGGGAGAATAATACAAGATAATTTTGTTAATAAAGAAAATGTTAAGAAGTCTATAAGCATTATTCCTATCTTTTATCAATCCTACATTCCTACCAGATCCTAAATGTGTATTGGGCCTTTTGGGTTAGGAGACATACCTGCCTCTCAAAACCTGCTATAAAAGAAAATGTTCTTTATTAATCGTCTCGCATTCTTTTTTGGAACGTTTTTTATTATTTGTCTCATTTTCTATTTTAGGAAAGTTTTTTATAAAATACCTCCACTTTTATTACTTTTACCCTCCTTACTTTTTGCAAACTACTTTCTCTTTCCTACTTTATAATAACTTTACGCTACTTAATATACTCTTTTTCCTACTTTATCATCACTTTATCACCACTTTAGTCTTTTTAATACTCTGTATACTCTTTTTAATTTACCCTACACACTCTACATTTATTCGACTATTTCTCTATTAAAATCCGTGCCCAAGGCTAGCGGGACAGATAATAAAGAACGGAGGGAATATTACCATTAGAGATGGACTCAGTCCGGGTCAACCGGCCCGGCTTGGTACTGTTTCGGCCTGGCCCAGTACCCGGGTCTGTGCCCGGTTCAGGCCACCTGGCCCGTACTGTTTGGGGCGGGCTTCGGGTCTCAAAAAAGATGAACCGGGCTGGCCGGCCGGGCCCGGTTCGGGCTTTTTTTTTTGTTTTTCAAAATTTGAAAAAAGTAAATGGGTTGAGTTGGGTGTTTTGGACGGGTTTGGGGTGGGGGTTGGAAGTAATTAGCAAAAAAAAAAGTGATCGGGCTGACCCGGCCTGACTCAGACCTGGTAGCTACCCGGGCCGGTTCCGGGTCTCAAGAATCCCAAAAAAGCCCGGTCAGGCCCGACCTGGACCAGCCCGGGTAGGAGTGGACTCGGGCCGGCCCAACCGGTCCGGAACCGGACCGGCCCGCTACTGTGTGGGACCGGACCGGCCCGGTGAACCGGCTGGTTGCCCGGTTCGGGCCACCCGGCCCGGTGGGATGGCGGTTCGGGCTCGGACACTTCAAAAGGTGAACCGGCCCGGCCGGTTCGGGCCCGGGCCGGGCCAATTTATTATTATTATTATTATTGTTTGAATTTTTTAAAAATTTTTGGGTTGAGCTGGGTATTTTGGGCCATTTGAGGTGGTTAGGGTTGGTTTGGGGGTGAGGGGGAGAGTTGGGGGTTAACTAGGAAAAGCCAAAAAAAAAAATAGAACCGAGGCCCGGCTCGGCCCGGACCCGGGGGTTACCCGGGCCGGTTCTGGGCCTCCCCTTCAGGAACCGAGGCCCGAACCGGGCCCGAACCGGAACCGGTCCACCCCTAGGCCCGGGTCCATGCCTAATTACCATTAATAGTCTTGGAATATAAGTATGTATACTAAATATACGATTCTTACTTACAAGTTGTTTGTTATCGGAGTATTTATTAATTATTATACAGTATAATAAGCTAAAATAAGGCTTCAAGTTTTGCTTGGAAAACTGATGAGAACTTTGAATTATTAGTGTTAGAATATATTATATCATCTTTGGCTTTGTTAGGAAGAGTTTATTTTAGAGTCTACATGTAGAAGTTATTGCTTCAATCTCTTCATCTTCTATGCTTGATTTGTTTCATTGTTGGTTTAAAGCTTTGGAGCTTCTTCAACATAGATGATAGATCTATTGAAAAGCCAAAACTTAGAAGCTTGTTTTATTATTTGTTAATATATAAAATATCAGTATTTCAAAAAATTTAAACAATCACTCCTCTCCAGTAGATCAAGCTGTATATATTTAATCCATATGTCCCATAACTATTTCATTGTTTAATTCCACCCTCATCAGTGACCAGTCTCACCAACCTAATAGGGAGTTGCATATAAAATAATATTTCCAACTATAATAAAATAATGTGATATCCTTCAAGTAAAAACCAAATCTTATAGAATCAAGAATATTCTCGAATCGTATATATTTGAATCAAATCTTTACATATTGTCAAATATTATATGCTCCGTATTTAACTGTGAGGCCACTAGGATCAATGATCATCAGGTATTTATTTTTTATTTAATTTAATTTAAAAGCACGTGAGATGAAAAATCTAGTCGATGAGAGGCTGTTGGGGTCAGACCATATTATACTCTGTAAAATGACAATCTTTTTTAGGAAAAAAGAAAATCAAGTCGTTACTCATTACTTAGTGCCCTATAACTTTATCAGTAAAAATTCTCTATATATAAGCAGTAAAAATAGTTTTTTAGTCAGACAAAATCGGCGGCACATAAATTCTCCAACGAGACCATTCCATTGTTCCAAAAGGTGGAATCTCCCACCCGACCCGACAGGATGTTGGGGAGGTTAGTCACGGTGACTCGGTCAGCAGAATGGCAGTAGGTCCATACACCCATGCGCACCAGAGATCCAACCTTATTTTAGGTTCTGTGACCTCTATCCGGTCGCTACGGGGATTCGAACCTTGGTCCATTGTTCCAAATCTCCCATCACTCGACCAACTGAGCTACCCGTGCGGGTCCAACGAGACCATTCCAAATCAACCATTCTTGATGTACACACCCTTGTACACACCTTATACATACCCTGTTTGTGAAGCTTTTTTTTGTCTGTGAATCCGGTTCACAGACAATATTTTGTTTGTGCAAAACATTGTCTGTGAATCGATGTTCACAGACAAAAAAAAAGCTTTCACAGACATAGATATGTACAAGAATGTGTATAAAAATGTGTACAAACATCATTTTTTATTCCAAATTTCCCATCTTGACCATGTAAAACCTAACAACGCCGTGCCGTACCTCTTCTCTTCAATTTCTTAACAATAAGTCAAGCCAGACACCGAACAACTCTTTCAAATACCCATAAATTCCCGTATCTAATTCCCCAATTAGGAAAATAATAATAATATAAAATTGTATAAAAAGGGTGGAAACCCCGCTTTCCTCTCTGTTTATGTGGTGCCAACGGGTTGCTGATGATTCCACCGCCATCTTAATTAAGAATCATACTTCTTCCTTCCATCTGCAATGATTTTCCCAGTTCCTTGAAAATCAATAATTTCGTTTCATAGTTTTTCCTGCTTCTCTCGACTCAAATCATGTTTGTTGTGATCTTATTGGCGATCGTCGCTGCATTTTTTGTTCTGCCTTTAGCGTCCAAATCTTCTCTGCTGTTTCTGGTGAAAAAATGGTTCCGAGTTTTGGAGGACAAGTGCTATGAGCACCAGTTCTATAAGGTGCCGGAGTTCAACCAGAATATGCAGGAAAATCAGCTGTACCGGAAAGTGTCTACTTATCTCAGTTCCTTGCCCGGCGTTGAAGATTCCGATTTCACAAACCTGTTTTCGGGCGGGAAATCGAACGAGATCAACGTCGTTCTCGACTCGAGGCAGGTCGTGGTCGACACGTTTTTGGGCGCTAGGGTTTGCTGGACGAACGAGGAGAGCGAGATGAAATCGCTGGTATTGAAAATCCGCAGAAACGATAAGCGCCGGATTCTTCGATCATATCTTCAGCATATTCTCTCGGTGTTCGATGAAATTGAGCAGCGGAGGAAGGAGGTCAGGCTGTACATGAACATCGACAAGGATACGGAGAAGTGCGGGCGGTGGAGATCGGTGGCGCTGACGCATCCCGCGACGATTGACACGGTGGTGATGGATTCGGATCTCAAAAACAAGGTCAAATCCGATTTGGAAACGTTTCTCAAATCCAAGCAGTACTACCACAGGCTCGGCCGTCTCTGGAAGAGGAGCTACCTGCTCTACGGCCCTTCCGGTACCGGAAAGTCCACCTTCACCGCCGCCATGGCGAAATTCCTCTGCTACGACGTTTACGACGTCGATCTATCCCGAGTCTCCGACGACACCGACCTCAAAATGCTTCTATTGCAGACGAAGAGCAAGTCTCTGATCGTGATCGAAGATCTGGACCGTCATTTGCTCGGGAAATCAACGGGCCCGACGTTTTCGGGGATCCTCAACTTCATGGACGGAATCTTCTCCTGCTGCGGCGAAGAACGAGTCATGGTGTTCACGATGAACGGCAAGGATCAAATTGATCCAACGGTTCTGCGGCCGGGAAGAGTCGACGTCCACGTTCACTTCCCCCTGTGCGATTTCAACGCTTTCAAGACCTTAGCGAGTAGCCACTTGGGTTTAAAAGATCACAAGCTCTTCTCTCAGGTAGAAGACATATTGCAAACCGGGGCGAGTCTGAGCCCGGCCGAGATCGGCGAAATCATGATCTCGAACCGGAGTTCTCCGAACCGGGCATTGAAGTCGGTCATCTCCGCCCTGCATACCAACAGCGAAGAGAGGGCCGCGGCCAGGCACACCCGGAGGTTGAGTCACAGCGGGTCGGGTCGGACCAAGGAGGAATCGGGCAGTTACGGAAAAGAAGGGATAAAAGAGGTCCGAAAGTTGTATGGACTTTTGAGGATAAGAAGTAGTTCTAGGAAAGAGTCATACGAATTAGATGCAGCCGCAGAGAAAGAATAGTTGACCGACAACAAAAGGATAGTTGTTTTAGATTACTTTCGTAACCCATTTGGGGCCCTCTCGAGATTGTCTTTTCATGTAAAAAAATACTAGGATTTTGCTTTGTTACACGTCCGGTTTGTCTATGCACGCATAAAAAATCAGATGTGTACATGCCCTACAAGTAGGTGTGTACACTAACAACAATTTCGTAAAAAGTAATAATGAAGACGCTCATAAGTTTGATTTTTTTTTCGAATCGGTTGGTCCAACACACAATCTAAGAGTTTCGAGTGATTATTTTAGAAGAATGAGATCAAACAAGTAAGATGGGGCCCAATAAGAAGTTTCAATATAATTCTGCGGTTAAAGGCGTAAGGTCGTTCGTACTTACAAGGCGTGAGGCCGTTGGTACAGATGATGTGCTACGAAGTGAGGACGTTCGTTCCCAGATATTCTACGAGATAATAAGAATGTTATAATACTAGAGTGCTAAGTTGCCCCTTTTTACAATGAAATAAATGCTACTATTTATACCACCAATGGATAGTTAGATGCATTGAACCCAATTGTGGATGACTTGATCCCAAACATCAAATCCCCTGCTTTAAATGCGTGACCACCAGGATCTTGGCTTCACGCCAAGAGGTGGGCACGTTCATCCACATGGGTTTGCCTAGCTCGATCTCGACCACCAGATCTTTTGCATTAAATGCTCAACCACCAAATCTTATGTATTAAATGCAAAATCCCGCCAGGATCTTGATAGTCCAGTGAGGTATGGGGACATTCGTCCTCAAGTCCTACGAGACGTGCGTCTAGTTCTGCTCCTGGGCCAAGGTACCCGCTACGCTAGGATACATATGTCCCCTGGATGATGGGGAAGGATATCCCGTTGTCTTGGGCCTTCTGGAGATGTTCGTCCCCGTGAACTTGCCTCCGTTCGTAGGGTATCCCATTGTCTTGGGCATTCTGGGGACGTTCGTCCCCATGACCTTGCCTCATGTTTCCTGTCGAAGTCCTGTGAGACGTGCGTCTCGTGATGCTCCTGGACCAAGGTACCTGTGTACGCTAGGATACGTACATCCCCTGGATGATGGGGAAGGTGTCTTGGGCCTTCTAGGGACGTTCGTCCCCATGAGATTGCCTCCTGTGAGACATGCGTCTCATGCTCCTCCTGGGTCAAGGTACCCGCGACGCTATGATACGTACGTCCCCTGGATGATAGGGAAGGGTATCCCATTGTCTTGGCCTTCTAGGGACGTTCGTCCCCATGAGCTTGTCTATTGTTTCCTGTCGAAGTCCTGCAAGACGTGCGTCTCGTGCTGCTCCTAGGCCAAGGTATCCGTATACGCATGGAACCTGGGCTTTCTCCGGACGTCCGTAGGATAAGGGTTTATGGGCCAACCCCCATTGGGCCATTAACCCAACAAGGCGTCTTTAGAACTGATTCTACTTCCGCTTCTTTTCTTTTTTAAAAGCAGAATCAGAATCAGTTTCTAAGAAGCTGGAGGAGACCAACTTCTAAAAAACTGCTTCTATGAGTAATTTGGAGCACCCAGAAGTACATTCTACACTTTCACTCAAACACCCTCTTAATAAGAGAAGAAGAAGTAGAAGCAGTTTTAAAAAGCAGATCGAAACACCCCCTTAATAAGACAAATTATCATATAACTACGTATATAACTAAAACTGTTTATTTTCCTATATACTTTTAATAGTTTTTTTCAAAAAATAATATCTATTCGAAGATATTTAAAAATACTTTTAATTAATAAATGAAGAAGTTCTACTTATTTATAACCTTAGATCCCGTTTGGTAACTCTGAAATCGGCAGAATCGGTTGATTCTGCCAAAATTTATGAAATTCTGGTTGGAGAGGTTTTATTGGCTGATTCTGCTGATTTATGAAAAAATTATATTCAAAATATAATTTATTAATACAGTAAAGAAAAAATTATACGAAGTATGAAAAAATAGCTAAAATGATCATCAACAGTAACTTCAATCAATATAGTCAGAAAACTAACTTCAACCTTACTTTTTCTTATTATTACACAATTCAGCTCTTTTCTCTTTTTCTTCTCTCTAGTGCACCGCTCCAGTCTACAGCTCTTTTAATGGTATTCCTTCCATCTTTTTCTTCTACAATTCGTGTCTTTCAATTCTTCTTCTCCTTGGGTCATGCATGCGAAGTGAGTATAATCTTTGCTAGCAGTGAAATTGGCAAGTGAGAGAACGTCATATATACAAAATGAATTTAAGACGGCGAAGGGTAGTAAAATATTGAGAGAAAAAGTGAGTTGGGGGGAAATGCAATGATGTTCGTAATAAGAGCAATAAAATGATATGAAAATATAATATTGGAAATAAGAGAAAAAGTCATTATGAATGGCATTGACCCTAGTAAATAATATAGTCCATATTTAATTTAACGCACAAAAGCGGTGCATATTTTTTATTTTAGGGTGTTTAGGAATATTTTTTATTTTAGGGTGTTTAGGATGTTTTTACTTTGACTGCTGGTCTAGTTTGGTCTAGTCTGTTTAAATCCGGTCTGGTCTGGTTTGTTTAATCTGGTATGGTCTAAACCGGTATAATCTGGTCCAATAAACGTCTGGTTTTTGGGTACTTTAATTTATAACAATGAAAGTCAGTCTCGTCTGATCGGGTCTGTTTAAGTTTGGTCTGATCAAGTCTGTTTAAGTCTGTCTGATTTAATCTGTTTAAGTATATCCTGGTATGATCTGGGACTGAAAACCGTCTAAGTAAACACGTGTAAAAAGATATTTTAGTTTCGTTTGTCATATTTATCCATATTAATGTCAGTAGTCATATTTAGGAAAGTTGATTATATTTAATTAGTAATATTATCCCGATAAATTTCTATATTTTAATAAAATGAAATGAAAACAATAATGTTGAATTGAAGCAAAATATTTGGTCCAATATTTTCGACCAAGTTGAATTGAAGCAAAATATATCAATCCTGAACCTGGCATTGACCCACCAACTTCATTATTGACTAATTGTGTTGAGTAGTTGATTTGAGGATGAAACATTTAAATTTTTGGGCTAAAAAAATGAACAAACAAAACGAGTACTATTAATAAAGTACTAGAATTGAATAATACAGGTATATGTTATTTTTAAATTGGACTAATAATCTCAATTTGACAGATAGAGAGTGAGACTATAATCTCAATTTGACAGATAGAGAGTGAGACTTTGTCCCCGGTACTTGCAGAGATCCTATGCATATTTTAGGATAGTAACCTTTCATCGCAGTTGTCGGGATTCGAACCCGGGACCTAACTCTCGTGACACTCCCACACTACCAGTTGAGCTACGCCCACCGATTAAAAAATAGTTTTCCTTCCGATACTATTAATATACTTGTCAAATAAAATTAAAACCGTTTGTGATATATACGGAGTACTAATGTAACACCCCCAAATTTCCCACCCAAAATACCTTTAAATAAAACATTATTTATTAACTTTATTTGAAAACATCAGAATTATGCAGCGGAAAATCAAAAGGGAAATAGGGGCGTTACCGTCACACTCGGCTCTAACCTGGCTCTAACCTAACCGAGTGCACAGGCTAAAACTACTTAAACTAAAAATAAATTAAACTTGTAAAATAAGTGTTCACTAATTTAAGATGCTGAAAATATAATTACAACTATTTACTAAATTGATGTTCTAGCGGAAGCTCTCTTGAAATCAACTTCAACGGGATCAACTCAACACCTGTACAAAATCAAGTACAGAAAAAAAAAAGAAACAAACATTAGCAACAATGCTAAGTAAGTTCCACCTAACCCCAAAAAAAATAATATATGTATATTTGTAAAACATTTCGTAAAATATATTTTCAAAATAATTTATAAATCCTAAGTAAAACAACATTTATAAAATATTCTTATAACACAAATAATATGCAAAATATCAATATTTCAAATATAAGTACATATTTCAAACCATAATAATACCAAAATATCAATATACATAAACATCACAATAATTTCAAAGCATAAGTCAAAAATCAAATATTCATCTCAAAATACATATAAATAATTATAAACAATAATCAACATAATTAACCAAATCAAATCCAAAAGTATTTATACTCTAAAAACTCACAAATAATTTAATAACTCAATCCAACTCAAATTCAATCCAAATATACTCCAATCCAATAATCCAACAATTCCAATCAAATCAATAATTCAATTCCACCACAAATCCAATCAAATGTATTCACCTCAAGTCCAAATCAAGCCAATCAAATAATCTCAATCACCTCAATCCAATCAAATTCCATTCAAATCAAGTCCAATGGAAGTCGAACTCCTACCTTAAGTGTGCACACCCTCTAAAAGGGATTCCAAGCCCTCTGGGTAGTAAGAAGCCCCCGAGTAGTCGGGATTTTTCTACCAACTACACTACAATTAAGCTGGGATACTCCGCTTTTGGGAAGTACCTCTGGTGGATTTAGACTTATAGCCATTACCACTCACCAAATATTCCACATTTATCCGGATGTGGCAAACCGACACCACGAATTTCTCTGGGTGCTCACAAAATCATAATATAATCTCAATCAAAACAGATATGAAATCCAAACTCCACAAAATCATCCAAAATGTAAAATATTAACTCCACAAACTACACTCGAATTCACCATACAATAAAATTTCACAAAAGAGCCAAATACTTTATAAATATAATCCCAATAACAATTCATAAGATATCTCAAATACTCAAAAATATCATCCAATATCCAATACTCAAATCTCAAATATAATTCTCAATAACAATCCATAAGAAATTCCAAATACTCAAATGTAAATACTAGAAACCTCATGAAGTAATCAAATAATTTCAAAAATGATTTACGAGAAAAAGTATAATTTTGATTGACGTGAAACTTACCTCAAATTGCAATAAATCTTAATGGAAACCTCTACCTCGATCTTCTCCGAAAATCACCTTTTAAGAATACTAAAATTCTAATTCAATATTTTATCTCATAATGACTTCTCTAACCTTTATTTATAAATTCCCCTTCTTATGCTTCTTTTATTTCACAAGTTGTTCATCTATAAAGTCATATAACAGTTTTAGTTTAATGACATTAATCTAGTACGTAGCATTAATGAGTTAATCGGCCCAAGGGTTATAAAAAAAAACCAGCCCAATAGTTAAATAAAAGAAGGAGAATCAACGTACTGTACGTCTCC